AGATGCTATGGCCCTCTGTGGTCAGCAGACTGAGGCATGGGCCTGCGGGTGGCCTGGCTTGACCCTTCCCAGCCACGGTACCGTGACTATGGGCCACGTGGCCAAGTGGCCCCTCAGGCCCCACCTGTCCTGGCCTCCACTGTCCACCTAGCAAGCTGCCCAGCCTCTCCCACCAGACAGCCCTGCACAGCCAGTTGTGAGCAGCCATGCAGCTGTCTGGGTGGCTTTGGATTCCCTTAGTTCTGCTTTTACTGTAGCACCAGGACTCCTGAGCCAGGCGAGGGTGCCCAGAAGGGGGGACGGGCCCACAGGAGCCACCAGGGATCACTTCCCTTTGCCGCGCAGCCTCAGCACCAAGCCCACGCCAAGGTTTCGTTTCTGGAGATGCATCAGGGAAAGAAACTTAGCAAGGCCCCGACAGCCGTCACATTGGCCTTGGAGACACAACTCTCCGTCCCGGCCTCGTGCTCTGGGGAGCCAGAGCCAGTCTGGCCTCCGGCCCAGGGGTTGAGGAGGCCAGGAGAGGAGGACCACACAGGTGTCGAAGAGAGTGACCCTTGAGGGGAAGCCTCCCGCAGGCTGAGGGATCAGCCTCAGTCCACGCCCAGGCATGTTTGCAAACCATCAGTTAAAAGGCGGAGGAGCGCAACCCAGCCAGCACATAGCCTGTCACGTGGCGCCCAAGGGTGCTACCTGCTCAGGACTTCTGCAGGGAAGACGCTTTCCATAACTCGACGGGATGCTTCTAAAGGACACCCATGGACAATAAATCGGCAAAATCGGCCAAAGCTATTAAAATGTGCGGTGAAGAGGGACTAGCCCGGCAGAGAGACCAGGTGCAAGAGGAGCCTCGAGTATGAACGGGCAGAGGCTGGCAGTCTCCTGGGAGTGGGGTGGGGGACGGAGGGGACCCAGGAAGCTGGCAGCCTGCGGGAGGCCAGCAGCCTCTTAGCCTCCCTCCCTCACTCCAGGTGTGCCCAGTAAGCACAGAACACCCACTATGTACAAAAAATTTAATTGAAATACCTGTATAAAAAATATGATCTCCAGACATCTCACACTTCTTAACTGAAAGAAACCCCCATCCTCGATGCCTAGACACACCGGGACCACATAAACACAGCTGCTAAAATAAATTAGAGGCTTGAGACTCTGCCCCCCACCCCCCAGCTTTCAGAGCCAACAAGCAGACTGTACAAAGTCAATAATTTAAAACCCACCCCCTAGGGCACAGTGCTTCTAGGTGGCAGGGTCACCCACTCCCCTTAAATTAGCCACTGTACAAGTTCATCTTCTGACAGACACAGGTGAGGCCAGGGACCTACACCAGGTGCAAGAATCAGGCCCTGCGTCCCTGGATCGCAGCCACCCTCCCCTCCCCACCACCCCAGGGGCCTGGAGGCAGCGGGCTGCCCAGAGAAAGCAACCTCAACAAATAAATTAAATAAATAGCCCCGGTGGGCCAGGGGCGCCCTCCACGGGGGTCACACCATAAATAACAGACGTTGGCACGCGCAGACACAGCGCGCGTGGGCAGGCGGGCACAGAAGCCCGCAGTTGCATTGCTTGTGCATGGACACGCCCAGACGGATACTGTACGACTGGAGGATGCGAGGGGGGCACGGGACCCCCGTGCCCAAGGGTGAGAATGCTCCCGGTCAGACACGTCTCCCGGACAGAGCAGCACAGAGAGGGGCGTCTCGGGCTCAAGTGTCCACCCAGGGCAGGCGGGATCTCGCTTCGACCGGAGCCGTCTTTGGACAGACAGAGCTTGAGAAAACCGAGTCCGGTGGGACCAGCGTTCAAAAGGCACTCAAAGCAAAGGTCACCAGGGGTCACAGATCACTGCTTCTGCAGGAGGAGACAGCCCAGGCAGGAGAATGTCAGTGTTTTGGGGGCAACAGGGGGCTGGCGGAGGCAGGTGGTCCCTTGGCTCTCATGAGCGAGGGGCAGGCCCTGAGCCGGCGTCCAGGTCCCTCCTCACAAGCTCTCGCTGCTGGATGTGGTGCTGGCCCCGTCGTCAGGGTCCAGGGCACACAGACGCAGGTCACAGGTCTCTGGGGTGTCCCCACTGGCCCCCAACATCCAGGGGTGAGCAGCGATCTGGTCCAGCGAGGGCCGCTCCGAGGGCCGCAGGGACAGACACCACTGGATGAGCTGCTGGCACTCTGCTGGGACAGGCAGGGTCAGAAAGGGGCCTGGCTCCCTGACCCCTTGGCCCCCACCAGGTGCCAACCCCCCACACACACCTGGAGAGACCCTCCTCCGGAAGAACAGGTGGCCGCGGAGGATCTCCTCGTCCTGCTCGAAGGGGATGTCCCCACACACCATGTCGTAGAGCAGCACGCCCAGAGACCACACGGTGGCTGAGCGCCCGTGGTAGCGGTGGTAGCGGATCCACTCCGGGGGGCTGTACACCCGGGTGCCTGCAAGGACACAAGGCAGGGATCAGAGCCGCAAGAGGCGGGCATCAGACAGGCTGGGCACACTGGCCGACAATTCACTCCTCAGCCTGAGTTGGAGGAGAGCGCGCCAGGCCTCAAAATCCGGCTTGTCATCACCCTGGAAAATCCCCAGCAGAAGCCCAGAAGGGCGTGGCCTAGCGGGGAAGGGGCGGGCCAGCCCCGCCCCCAGCTGGGGCGGGCGGGTCACATGAGCGAGGGCTCTGGTTTCACAACAAACAGATGCTCCGAGGGCGCAGCGGGTCCCTCACCGCCCTGCGAAGGGCGGGGAAAGAAAGGGGGGGCCAGCGGGGAGCCCCGGCTTCCCCACGCTCTGCAATGCGGGGATTTCTGCGGCGGCGTCCCCGCGCTCAGCACGCACGCAAGCCCGCCTCCGCGAAGGGGGAGGCCCAACAGCGCCGCTCCGCTCCCGCTCGGGAGCTCCGACACCAGGCGCAGACGGGACCGGCTGCGCCCCCGGCCATGCCCGCGCCCCACTGGGACGCGCTGGGTGCCACCCCCAGCCGGGGGTCTCGCGATCGTAAAGATCCCCCTCACGCCCCCATCAGTGCGACGGAGGCGGCAGTCTCGAGCGCGCCCCTCGCCCCCACTCCCCACGACCCCGCGCGCGCACGCTCAGCCCATCCGCAGCCGCGCGCGCCGCCCAACAGTCACCAGCCTCTCCGTGCGCCCCGCGGGCGTTACCCGCCCGCTGGAACGTTCCCGAGCACCCGCGCTCACCGTCGAAGTCGGTGTAGACCGTGTCCTTGAGCAGCGCGCCGGAGCCAAAGTCGATAAGCTTGAGCTCGCCCGAGCGCAGGTCCACCAGCAGGTTCTCGTCCTTGATGTCGCGGTGCACGACCCCGCAGCTGTGGCAGTGGCGCACGGCGGCCAGCACCTGCGCGAAGAAGCGGCGCGCCAGCGGCTCGTCCAGGGCGCCGCGCTCCGTGATGAAGTCGAAGAGGTCCTGCGCCGGCTCGGGCCGCTCCAGCACCAGCAGGAAGCCGTCGGGCCGCTCGAACCAGTCCAGCAGGCGGATGACGCCGCGCGCGCCGCCCGCCGCGCCCACCTTGCGCAGCAGCACCACCTCGAGGGGCACGGCCGCGCCGCCCTGGGGGACACGGCGGTCAGCGGCCCGGCGCCCCGCCACCCCGGGACCCCGCCACCCCGGCGACCCGCCCGGCACTCCGGCACCTCGCCCCGACTTACGAGGCTGCCCCACTCGGTCACCCGCTCCTTCACCACGTGCTTCACGGCCACCTGGGGGGAGGGCGGAGGGTCAGGGCGGCCCGGCCGAGCGAGGCGCGCGGCAGGCGAGAAACCCGGGTCCGCCCGGCGGTCCGACTCACCGGGAGCCCGTCTGCGATGCGGCTGCCCGCGTAGACCGTGCCGAAGCCGCCGCTCCCCAGCACGGCGCCCACCTGGTACGCCTTCTCGAAGCTCTCCCGGTCCGCCCTGGCTGTGAAGACCGCACGCGGGGTTGGCGCGGCCCGCGGTCCCCGCCCCGCCCGGCCGCCCGGCCGCCCCGCTGCCCCCGCCTACCTGGCTGCAGCAGCTTGGCCGGGAGGTGGTCCGCGCCGCCGGGCCCGCACAGGTGCGCCAGCGAGCCGAACTTGGACAGCAGCATCGCGCGCGGCAGCCTCCCCGGCCCGCGGACGCCGGGCCTCCGAGCCGAGGCCGCGGGCGGCGGGCGGGACCGGGCTCCGCCACACGCAGCAGCCGAGCGGCTCCCGGCCCGGCCGCCTCGCCCCGGGCTTTTGGGCCGCGACGGCGCGGATCCCTCCGCGGGGGCGGGGCGAGGCGGGCGGCGCCGGGACTAGCTGGCCGAGTGGAGGCGCGGAGGCGCACGGCGTTTCGCGTCCTCCGCGCACGCGCAGCTGCCGCGCGGACGTCGGCCGGGAGCCTCCGGCGGTGCGGGGCGGTGCCGCGCGAGCCAATGGTAGCCGGCGTTTTGAAAGGACACCGCGCTCCGGCCAATGGTAGCGCGCGGGGCGGGGCTTCTTGGGCTCCGCCCCCGGCCGCGCCGGGGAAGGTCACCGGCCCGAACGCGGACGCCGTGCCGCCGCCCTGCCCGAGTGGGGGTCCCGGGGTGGGGGCTGTGTCCGGGAGGCGGCCCTGCGCCGCCCTGGGCCCTGAGGGGACTCGCGTGTGCTCGCGTGACCGCGGACGCCGTAGCCCAGCGTGGAGGCGGTGCGCGCTCTGCCCAGGGGCGCCCCGTCCCGCCCCGGCTCCGCCCTACGAGCCGCCTGCCGCCCCTGCCTGGAGCCACCTGGCCGAGCCGCTACCGCCGCTACCAGGGAGCGCACCCTGACTGCTGCCTCGGCTGCGGTCGGCCCGAGCAGCCCAGTCGAGCCTGACCCTGTAGGGCCCCTTCTCTGCCTCCTTGCAGAACCCAGACGCGCCCGCGTCGTAGGATCCAGCCCCGCGGCCTGCCGACATGGGCCCAAGGTCACCGGCCTGAGAGCGGCTCAGGACTCTGGGATGCGCGTGGCCGGCCACCAGCACGGGGTCTGGTGCCGAGAGTGGGATGAGAGTTGGGGGACCAAGGGGCCAAGGTGCTCCCAGTGGCCCCCAGGGGCCAGGCCACCGTCAGCATTGCGGCTGGTGCGACCTGTCAGCACGCACACCTGCCGGTCTCGGAGCTTCCCCCAGCACCTCCAGCCTCCCCCAAGCCTGGCTTCTCACCCCTACTCTGCCTCCATCAGAGTCCCTCCGTGGTACCGCAAGCCACCACCCTAGAGCCCCTTCCGAGGCCACCGCTGCGCACGCCCCAGCCCAGGGCCCTGACCTCTCTGGGGCTCCCGCCCCATCCCCCGGATCCCCGGCTCCTCTGCTGTCCCGGCCCCCTCTTCCTGCCCTTTGGGCCTTGTCATCTCTTCCGAGGATCAGAGCCAACCCTGACGTTCTGTACCTGCGTCTCCCCTTCCAGCCTCTGCTGCACCGCTAATGCCAGTAAACGGCTGCTAGGTTCTCAGGGCTCGGCGCAGGCCTTGCGAAGGCGGGCCCACAGCTGCCAGGTTTACCGTGGCCTCGCCGGACTACGGCCGCACACGGCTGCCGCGCAGTCAGCTTCCAGGTGGCCCTGAGCCCCCCCTCAGCGGAATCTGCGCAGCACCTGGGGGGGTGTGGTCACTGTGGCTCTTTGCAGAGGACCTGCTGAGGATCCAGCAGGGCCTGCCTCTCCTTGGGGGGGGACACTCGCACTGTCCGGGGAGTGCTGGGGAGTGTTGTGTTGACCACATCAGGATGGCTTCCGAGGGTGAGCTCAAGTCAGCTGGGAGTGGCTGGGGTCCCCTGGTGGTCCCCCTAGTGGGCCCCCAGCCCATCATGTGAGTCCTCCTTGGGTGGTCCTGGCCTGGGTGCCTGGCTGGCCCCAGCCCAGTTGGCCTTGGCAGACTAGGATGGGGGAGGGGTGCCCTCCACTCCCCCCAGCTCTCCGGTGTTGCTCTGACCTCGAGTCTCCCCAAACTAAAAGCACCGTGGACTCGCTCCTCCGTGAAGGGGGGTCCACACCTAGGTCCACACGGCCAGCCACCCACAGCCCCTCGCCCCTCGCCCCTCTCAACCCGAAGGTGGGCTCCTGCCACTCAGAGCCTCTGCGGAAGCCTCCGGGAGTGAGGAGTGTCCGGCAGCCCCGTCCTGGAGCGGGCAGAGCAGGAGGCGGGCGGGGATTTCTGTGTGCCCCTCATGCTGCAGACCCCGTCATGGGCGTTGTGGATGTGCTCTTCTGTGTGCCTGCGTGTGCTGGGGACCCTGGCACTGACAGGAGGGGTCGTGAAGGACTCTCCCTTCACCTCCCGGGAGGCTGTCCACCCAGTTGCTGGCCCCGCAGCCACTCTGGTCTTCCCCCTCCCGTGGTCAGCACACCACCGTCCTGCCTTGGACCTGCCGTGGCCGTCCTGGGCCATCAGGGTCAGTTCCAGCGAGTCACAGCCATGCCCTGAGCCCCCAGACCCCAGCTCCCACCGCAGGAACACCCGGCCCCGTCTGGGCCTGATGCCTCCCCAGCCCTTGGGCCCAGCTCGCACCACTGCATCCAGGGTCACCCACTCAGCACCCCAGCCCCACCCGGAGCCTGAGCCCAGCCAGCCGAGTCCAGCTTAGCACAGACACCACCGCACACCCCTCTGCGGCCTGCACGGGGTGCTCCCGGGACAGGCCATGCCCTTTCCCCTCTTGCCTCTGCTCCCTTTGTCACAGCCTCTGGGTGCTGGGGACAGAAGAGCAGAGCCCTGCCAGGATCTTGCAACATTCCCCACAGGCGCCCGGGGCTGGGCCTGGGCTGGGGTGGGGCTCCGATCAGTGGGAACCAGGGGTGATGGCGGGGTGAACTCTGGCCCAGCCGCTGTGGCCGCCTCTTCCAGCCTCTTCCCTGCCCAGAGGACCCCTGCCGCCTGGACTCCTCGGCCAGGCCGCCCTGTGTCCAGAGGCTGCCGTTCCCTCCGGGCACCCCCACTGCCGCCTCCGCAGAGCGCCTGCCCCGCACGCCACCCTGGGGCCTGGGCCCCGCCATGGGCACGGCCACCTGGCGTTAGCCGCTTGGGCTCTTGACAGAAAAACATCCTGAGCGGCCAAAGAAGATGCTGTGGAATGTTCAGGCCTAAACCAGGTCCCCAAGGAGCTGACGCTAAAACCCTGACCCCCAGTGAGGGGAGCTGTCTGCGCTGGTGGGCCTTGGGGTGGCAATGACGGTGGGAAAGGGACGTGAGCTCACCCGGCCCGGGGGACCCGCTGCCCCAAGAGCTGCAGCCATGGCACCTCCCAAACCAGGGCAGAGCCTGAGCCAGGGGCTGCAAGGTGCGCATGGCACAGGCCTGATGGATCCAGGGCCAGGGGCCTCTCCACACCCAGGGCCTCTGGCTGAGACCAGGGCTGGCCGCCCTCAGCGCCTGGAGCAGACGGTGTCGCTGCCCATGGGGCTGGGCCCTCACAGCTCTTGGCTTTTGGCCCTGCGTGTCTTTCCTGGCTGTCCCTTGGGGCCGTCCTCTGACCCCAGCTGGAGTGCTCTCTGCCCGGGCCCACCCACCACCAGGGCCAAGACCCTCCTCTGCCACTGACCTGCCCCTGGAGCAACGGGCACATGCCAGTCCGTGGAGTGGGGCTGTGACTGCCCTGCAGGGCTGAGAGGAGAGTCCCCAGGAGACGCCTGCACACAACAGACATGGCTGGTGCTTTAGGCACAGGCCCCAGAAGGGGGGCTCCCTGGGACAGTTTGGCCTGGGCAGGGCCCCTGCGTGCCCTAGGGCAGCTCCACCGCCTCCCTGCGGGGACCTTCGGATCAAGGAGCCCCAGCTGGGGGGCCCCTCCTGCCTGCCCTGGCCGGTCCACACAGGCTGTCCTGTGCCCTGTGCATGGGCACGGCCTCTCAGCCCCAGGCTGGGGATGTCCAGAGGGGTCAGAGGAGTCGGGCAGCCTCTGTGGTGCCCAGGCTGGACAGGCCACTCAGCCCCCTTGGCTCTGGCCCCAGCACTCAGATGAGGATGCGATTGGGTCGGCCCCAGGATCTGGAAGCCAGGCCTGGCTGCCCTGCAGGGTGCTTGCCTCAATTTGCATAAAGTCCCTGCTCCCCAGCCAGCCTCCCTCGGGGCTTCCAGGAGGGGAGGACTCCAAGCAAGGGGGTGGCAGAGCTTGTGCAGGAGGAGGAGGATGCTTGGCACCCAGAGCCAGGCTGGGGGCCACTGGGGCCACAGGGCCATGGCTTCCAGGTCAGAGCTGTGCAGTGTGGAGCCAGCCAGGGGGATCTCCCAAGTGGCTCAGGGCTGGTGGCCGAGTCCCAGGGGGCTTTGAGGAGCCCAGAGCCTACAGCGATGATGACGGTGTCTTGGGGGAGTTTCTGGAGCTGCCACAAATGGTCCAAGGACCGGCTCTAGCACTGCTCAGACCATGCTCCAGCCATGGAGGCACCACACCCTACAGATGGACTCCCAGAGGGTCAGAGCAAACATCCCCCCAAAACAGGAGCTCAGGGCACTATCACCGCCGTGGAGATGCACGCGCCTGCCCAGGCTCAGCATGCGCACGCGCCCCTGCGTCAGCCCGGGTGGGGCACTTCTGTCACACTGTGTCAGAGGGAGCGGTGGCCTTCACAGGCTTGAGGACAGGGGAGGACGAGCTGTTGGTGGCAGCCGGCCCAGCCAGGCACCCAGCAGTGCTGCTGCCAGGGCACGAACGCTGCCCACGGACGGCTCAGGCTTGGACAGAGCAGGGCGGGACCGAGGACAGCCCGGGCACTCCAGACCTGAGGGGCTCTGCTTTCATGGCGCAGAAGCAAACCCGGGAGGACGGGGAGAGTCCCCCACACCTGGGCTTGTGGCGGCAGTCGGTGGTGCTGAGAAAGGCCCGATGTGGCCCAAAGTTCTGCTCATGGAGAAGGGTGGAGCACAGCGCCTGCGTTGGTCACGCGGCCCCCTGGGGCCTGCCCTCATCCCGGCTTCTTTTCAGGCCTGCTGGTCAGGTGCCGGGTCCTGAGCAGAGCTGGACCAGGGCTGGGGCCAGTCTGCCACGGGGCGATGCCCCCTCCGGGTGGGTCTGTGTTGCTCTGCGGGGATCTTCCATGCTTCTCCTGCGGCCTTGGCCAGAGGACTGGGCCTTGTTCTTGGGAGTGTCCCCAGGGCTAGCCTAGGCGCTGAGAGGCACTAGAGGTGACTCGATCCCAGGATGCAGCAGGAGCAGAGCGTGGCGGGAGAGGGACAAGGGAGGACCACTGGACCCAGAAGGGTTGGATGAGCCAGGGACGTGAAGCCTCCTCCTCCTTGGACACCCAGGCTGGCCACTGCCGCGACGCCTGTCCCCATCTGCATGGGGTGGGGTGCCTGCGTGCAGCCGCACACCCACCAGGTGACGGTGTGGTAAGTGCTCCAGTTTGGGGCAAGGTGTAGCTTTCTGTCCCAGCCGGTCCCTCTGGGAGAGGACCCCCGACTTGAGGAGGTGGTTCAGGGGCCCAGGCCCACCCCTGTGCACCCGTCCTCCTCCCCGGGCCCGGTGGTGTGTGCAGCAGGTGGCTTCACCCTGGTCCTCTGGCAGGGCAGCCGCTGAGCTCCCCACACCTGCCTTCTCTCTGTTTCTGCTCTTTGGGCGTCCTCATCTCTGCCACACCCTGGTCTGGGCGTTCCCAGAGCGGCTTTGCTGGGGGCGGTGGGAGGGCAGCTGCTGACTCGTGGTTTCTGGGACGCGCCATACTGTTTTGGGGTTTCGACCCAGCCCCAGTTCCCTCCCAGGTGAGCAAGTCAGGTACTCTGGGACCTGGGGCCAAGGCCTCTCCTCAGGCAGCAAGAGAACCAGCTCCTGTGGGCCACCCAGCTGGTGCTCTGGCCCTGACCTGTCCCCCCCCCTCCAGGCTGCTCTGTGCCCCCCTCCCCCCAACGTCTGAGCCTGCGCCTCTTGCAGTGACCAGACAGCGGCGTGGCCCATGCGGTAGAGGGCTCCAGCCGTGGGCCTGAAGGCAGGGCCCCGGGGCCTGTGCCTCTCCCCAGCACCCCTGGACCCTCCTGGGGCCTCTCCCGTACCACCTCTAGGGCCTGAGCCCCCCGCTGGGTCCGGCTGTGCTGGGCCAGACTGGTCCGGGGGCAGCTGCAGGAGCCCACGTGGGCCGGGCTGGTGGCAGGCAAGGGAGGGGTCCTCCCTGGATCCTCAGGAAGGCAGAGTGGCTGCCCAGGCCCCAGCTGGCCATGGGGAGCCGGGATGGGTGGGCTTGAACTCAAACACCTGGGCTCAGTCGGGGCTGGGAGGCTGTGTGGAGGCTGGGAGGCTGTGTGGAGGCTGGGAGGCTGTGTGGAGGTTGGGGCCGTGTGGTGTCTGGTGGACAGATCTGGTGTCAGGAGGGTGGCAGGAAGTCTGTGGCCCAGGGGAGGCACCAGCTGGGCCCAGAGTGCCTGGACGAGCTGCGTCTTGGAGGTAGGATGCAGCAGGAAGGGCAGAGAAGTGGGCTGGGCTGGGCCCTCGGGCAAGGGTGTGCGACCCGGGAATCCCACCTGGCTGGGCCGGCTCTCAGCAGAGGTGACCCGGCGGCCTGAGTGTGGAGTCTTTCCGCGAGGCCTGCGCAGCGGCTGATGCCAGGCTAGCCTGGCCCCCTGGCCCTGGTGTGTGGGAGTGGGGCAGCCCGCCTGAGCGCCTGGCCTTGGGAGCTCGGGGCTCTGGCGGCTGCCCTTGGGCTGGGGGTGGGCGTGGGGCTGGGTCTTGGCCCTGCCAAGCCTCTGTCCACCTCCACGCGCCAGGGCCCCATCTCTGCGTCTCTGACTGGGGAGGGGGGAATGGGCCGTGGCCCAGCCTTCAGGTCTCAGCTGCCACCGTACCTGCTGTGCCACCCCCAGCTGGGCAAACAGGCCTCAGGCAGGTGGGCGGCCTGCCCAGTTGTGCTGCCCATGACGCAGGCTGCGGCCTCTGTTCCAGATGCCTCCCGGCTGGGCCCAGCCCACACGCACACGTGAGCAAATGCGCACACACATGCACATGCGCGCACACACGCTCGCAGCCTGTACCTGGCCGGACTGGTTCTGCGTGGCTGGCGCTTGGCCCGTGCGGGGCCCACGCAGCCCGGCCTGCCAGGCGCTGTCCTCACCACCCCAAGCCCCCACCCTCTGTCCTGGCAACCTGGGCGCTCAGTTTCCCTGGGCGCTCCTGTCAACCTGGCACTTGTGAGGCGCCTTGCGGTGGGGTGGGGTGGGAGCAGGAGGAGGGCAGGCCCTGGTCAGTGCAGGACCGTGGAGACCCCCGAATGCAGCCGAGTGGGCAGGCGAGGCCATGGAGGTGATGCCGCTCCCCTGCCTGTCGGCATGCAGCGCCAGCCACACCCCTCCTCCGGCCGCTGTTGCGACTCTGCTTCCCTCGGCCCACAGACCCCTCATGGCGCCACGGAGCAGGCCTGGCAGGGCGGTCGCCCCCGGGCCCCCGGAGCTCCCAGCGGAGGCTGCGTCAGCTCCTGGGGGACTCAGGGAGCTGGCGGGAGAAACCCGACATCCCTCCCACAGCACAGCCCAGACCGGCCCCTGAGCCCCGCGCCCCCCTGTGGCTGCGGGTGCCCCCACCCCACATACCCTGGAGCCCTCGGGGTCATCCCAGCCTCTGGGGGGGCTGCAGGGCTGGAGGGGCGTGTGTGCAGTGGTGACACACGTGTGCACACATGGGGTCTGTGTCTGTCGGGACATTCATGTGAGGGCGTGTAAGAGCCCGCTGAGCATGTCATGACCTGGGGG